ACAGTGTTTCCATTCTTGCCTGCGAAATGGAGCTACTACCCTCTAGCATGTCTGCCTCACGTGGTGGTTGAAAGGATTGAGCAAAATAATAGTTTGTAATTTATAATTCTATATAAATAAAAGGTTATCACAAAAAATTCTAAATTATTATAGCCACATGTACTGGTAGCTACCATACTGGATAAGCGGGGTAGAGTTTACAATCTTTCTCTAAAAATAAATGTAGTTTTTCTCTGAGTACTTTTTTTTTTTTTTTTTGAGACAGAGTCTCACTTTATTGCCCAGGCTAGAGCGCTGTGGCATCAGCCTAGCTCACAGCAACCTCAAACTCCTGGGCTCAAGCGATCCTGCTGCCTCAGCCTCCCGAGTAGCTTGGACTACAGGCATAACCACCATGCCCGGCTATCTGAGTACCTTTAATGAAAGCAGGACTGTCTGCAAGAGAAAGTGCTAGAGAATTAAAACACTGAAAAAGAATTTAAGAATCGGTGCGGGGTGGCAAGAGTAGAGACAGTGTCTGGCCATGGCTCAGTAGACTAGGGGATATCAGAATCCAGCAGCATCAGAAGCCCACTGGCACATTAATAAATTTACAAAAGAGGTTAAGGACACATCAAAAATGGTCTGATTTTAGCAGATACAGAAGCTACATCCATGGAAATATTTTGGCAATGTTTTATTAAATTTCCTTCATTCTTCACACCCACCCCATGCCAGACATTCAGATGGTCTTTGATGTTTTTGTCCACTATTTTTTTCTAAATGATTTTTTAAGTTATTTCATCAAGTTTAAAAAAATCCTGCTGATATTAACATTTAGGGATAAATGCACTAACTAACTGAATATAATTTATCTTTCTTTCAAGCCTACCTGCCTGAGATATCTACCTTTTATTTACTCTCTGATGTACAAGTTTTATAGTTTCCACTTGTAGCTTTTATTTTATTTTTTATTTCAGCATATTATGGGGGTACAAATGTTAAGGCTACATATATTGCCCATGCCCCCCTCTCCCCTCGAGTCAGAACTTCAAGTGTGACCATCCCCAAACATTGCACATCTCACTCATTATGTTTGTATATACCCATCCCCTCCTCTCCCCTCCACCTGCCCGATACCTGATAAATGTTATTCCTATATGTCCACTTAGGTGTTGATCCGTTAATACCAATTTGTTGGTGAGTACATGTGGGTGCTTGTTTTTCCATTATTGAGATACTTCACTTAGTAGAATGGGTTCCAGCTCTTTCCAGGAAAACACAAGAGGTGCTATATCACCATTGTTTCTTAAAGCTGAGTAGAACTCCATGGTATACATATGCCACATATTATTAATCCACTCATGTATTGATGGGCACTTGGGTTGTTTCCACAGCTTTGCAATTGTGAATTGTGCTGCTATAAACAATTCTAGTGCAGGTGTCTTTTTTGTAGAGTGTCATTGGATCTTTTGGGTAGATGCCCAGTAGTGGAATTGGTGGATCAAATGGTAGATCTACTTGTATCGCTTTAAGGTATCTCCATATTGCTTTCCACAGAGGTTGAACTAGTTTGCAGTCCCACCAGCAGTGTAGCAGTGTTCCTCTCTCCGCATCAACTCCAACATTTACACTTGTAGCTTTTAATTAACTTCAATGAAGTTGATCTTTAAGTATTTTTCTATTGTTGGATACCTTTGTTAGTGAAATTTCTAGATAATTCTCATTACCCAGATTTCTTATTGTTTGAGGTTGTATGGTATGGAAGCTGCCTGAAATAATACTTATTCTCTGGAAGTTACTAGTCATAGCCAGATGTGGTGACCCAGGCCAGGAGTCCCAGCTACCTAGGAGACTGAGGCAGGAGCCTCACTAGAGCCCATGGGTTCAAGAGCAGCCTGGGCAACATAACAAGACCCTGTCTCTAAGAAGAATTTTTTTTTTTAATTTTACTGGGCTGGTGTCAGACATGGGTACCAGATGTCAAGTCCTACTTCCCTGGTTCTTGGTTTCCAGCACCGAAGAATGGTTCTTGGAGCCTAGTCGAAAAGCAAACGAGCAGACCATCAGATGGAAGCAAGTGAAGTGCCAAGGTTTGCTACAGCAGAGCATGGTCCGGAGAGCAACTGCCGAGCCTGCAAGTGGAGGAGCCCCTGAGGTTAACAAGATTTCCCCCTTCATGCTGATTCCCTAACTCTATGCTAAGTGGGGGAGGGGGCAGCAGAATAGCCATGATTTTTCTTGGAAAAAGGTGAAGAATCCCCAGAATGGCTAATCCTCCCCTTTTCTATGCTCCTATGTCAATTTTGGGGGGTTGCCATGGTATTTAAACTGTCATGTGTCCATGATGTATGTAGGAAAAAATAAAGAAAAATATAAATGAGTAAACTGTCGTGGGTGGGTATGATTTTTACTGTTAGTGAGGGTAGGTCAGTGGAGGATACTGTCACCTTCTTGTATGCAAAAGACCCCGTGTGTGGCCTTCCTGCCTCTTTCTGGTTGATCGGTCCTTGGAGATACCCTATCATAGACCAAACATCTGTCCAGTCCTTGGAAGTCCCCTTGACATGTCATCTATTCTTTCCTAGAAGTCCCCTCTGGTTAATTTGTTCCTCCTATTGTAGATACAGCATCTCCTAGTGCCACCTGTTTCTCAGTGGAAACCCCCTAGACAAAACATCTGTTCCCCTTCCTCCTTATCCCTACCGAACAGTGGTGGTGCACAGATGCAGTCCCAGCTACTCAGAAGGCAGAGGCAGGAGGATCGCTTGAGCCCAGGAGTTTGAGGCTGCAGTGAACTATGATGCCACCATGACACTCCAGCATAGGCCACAGAGGGAGACCCTGTCTCTAAATATAAATAGATAAATAAATAATCTTTTTATTTCATTTTCATATAAGGATACTCAGTACAGCATTATATATGGTAATGATAGGCACCCTTATTTTTATTTTTTATTTTTATTTGTTTTTTCTGAGACAGAGTCTTGCTCTGTTGCCTGGGTTAGAGTGCGGTGGCATCAGCCTAGCTCACAGCAACCTCAAACTCCTGGGCTCAAGTGATCCTCCTGCCTCAGCCTCCCAGGAAGCCAGGACTACAGGCAATGCCACCATCCAAGCTAATTTTTTCTTTTTCTTTTCTTTCTTTTTTTTTCAGTAGAGACAGGATCTCACTCTTGCTTAGGCTGCGTTCAAACTCCTGAGCTCAAGTGATCCTCCCACCTCAGCCTCCCGGAGTGCTAGGATCACAGGCATGAGCCACCGCACCCAGCCTTGATCTTGTTTTTAAGAAGAATTTTTTTAATGCTTTCCTATCACAGGCAACATTCATTTTATCTTTTATATTCTCTCCATCATAAGAGAGAATAAAAGAATATCTTTAAAATAAGATTATTTGAAAGATATTTATTTTGAAGTATTTCTTTGGTATTCATAAATATGATCACAAAACATTTACTATTTAATTGAATACTGAGGTACATATAAGCCAGGCACAGTGGATCACACCTATAATCCTAGCACTCTGGGAGGCAGGGATGGGAGGATCACTTGAGGTCAGGAGTTGTAGACCAGCCTGAGTAAGAGCAAGACCCCGTCTCTACTGAAAATAGAAAAATTAGCCCAGTGTGGTGGCACATGCCTATAGTCCCAGCTACTCGGGAGGCTGAGGCAGGAGGATTGCTTGAGCCTAGGAGTTTGAGGTTGCTGTGAGCTAGGCTGACACCACGACACTCTAACCTGGGTGACAGAGCAAGACTCTGTCTCAAAAAAAGAAAAGAAGTCACTTGTACCCCCATAATACGCTAAAATAAAAATAAATAAATAAATACATATAACATAAAAAAAGAAAAGAAAAGGAGTATGTATATTATATCAATATTTTTTCTTGTCTTGTAGTAGACTTGCCTTGCATAAATAATAATTAAGTATTAACAGATTAGTACATGAGAGATGCTATTATTAGTGTTTCACAGGTATTACCTCATTTAATCCTCACATCAAACCTAAGAGCAAGATATTATTAATGTCCATTCTAAAGATAAATCACAGGCCAGGCACAGTGGCTCCTACCTGCAACCCCAGCACTTTGGGAGGCCAAGGTGGGACGATCACTTGAGCACAGGGGTTTGTAGTTACAGTGAGTCATGACTGAATCACTGTACTCCAGCCTGGGTGACAGAGGGAGACCCTATCTCTGAAAAATAAAAATAATAAAGAAAAACAAATGACCTGAGAATTGTGGAATTAAGTATTTGTCTAATTGTCTATAGCAGATAAATGACAAAGAGGAGAGTCAAACCCAGACAGTTTTAGTAAAGAACCTGAACTTTTCCCGATAGTTCTATACTGATTCCTCATTCCTCATTGATACCTTATGCTGTATAATTCATTTTTTCTCTGGCATATTACATGTTAGCATTTTATATACATTTTAATATCTATACAAAGAAATGACAGTTTGACATTTTCTCTATTAGAATTGGTGGTCCAACAAAATCACATTTACAACTGTGTGATGATCTTTAAAAGTTCGTAAAAAAACTATTCACTATAACACAACAGAATCAGATGCTTTGGAGGAGGTAGGGTCTTTGATTATTTTTTCATTTCCTTCCTCATTCACTGGTCTCGCTTGGTAGTATAGCTAGTATGTCCATACTCTCATGCGAAAGGTCCCTGGACGGGGCCCGGCCAGCCCTAATGACAGCCCTGTGGAAGGATCCCATGTCCCGTCACGTCTCAGGACCAACAGACCTCTAGGAGAAAGAAAACGTGGACGGGTGCTAATCCTAACATGCCGTTGAGCAAAGGCAGGACAGATTCCAGGTCTTCTTTTGAGTTCTGGGATGGGCACTCTAATGGCTTTAAATCATGCCACTGATGGACCCTTCACACACAGAGACGCACTTATTCCACCCCGCCCCATGTCCTGTGGGTGCGTGAGGTGGGACAGGGTTGGGGGAGTGACAGTCCCACAGAAGGGCCAGCAGAATGCCTGAGATCACCTTCAGAGCCAGGAAAGCACAGGACCGCCCACAGCCTCACCCCTCCAGCTGTCATCGCACCTGCCTCGCACACTTCACATCCCCAGACCTCTCACCCTATCCGTCTGCCCAGTGAGTGATGACTCACGCAAGGCTCCGAGCCTATTGATTACTTTCTCAGGGTCTGCCCAGTCCCAGGGCCACGTGAGACTATTTGGCTCACGGTCTCTAGTGTTTCAGACGGGAGCTCCCTTTCGTGAGTCCCTCTCTTCCTGACTGCAGCTCTCCACAGTTTGCCGCCCTCCCGGCTCCGTGATGGTCCTGCAGGTGCCGGAGGGCCCCTGCGCAGCGGCTCTGCCGGCGTTACTGGTGGCACTGCTCAGCGCCGCGGCCCAGGGCAGGGCCTCGCCAGGTAAGAGCGGGCGCCTATTCCCGGAGTCTGCCTCAGCGGAAATGCCTAGAGACTGTCCCTCTGGGGGACCTGACTCTGAGGCCGCCGCGCCCTCCCTTCCCGGCTAGAGAGCCAGGCTCCGCCGCAGGACACGCGCTGTCCCGCAGGCCCTCCCCCCAGGGACGCGGGCGCGTGAGCCGGGCACAGGTGCCGCGTGCCCGTGCCTGTCTGTCGTGGAGCACGGGCCGGGAGGTCTGGGATAACGTCGGGGGACAGGCTCCAGCGGCCGAGGTCGGCAAGTTCCGGCCGCCTGGGCACGCTCCGTGGGCGCCAAGCCCTGAGGGGCTCGGGCGCGAGCGCGGAGCCCAGGCGCGTGCGCGTGCTCGCAGGGGCGGGGAGGCCTCCGTTCTCGGGCAGAGCGGGAGCCGCGGCCCTCAGACAGCCCAGGAATACCTCCTTGCTAGGCGACTTCCCAAGCTTCCCGGAAGCTGGGTGGAGGCTGGGGCGGGCCGGACCGTGGCAGGACCGAGAAGAGCGCGGAGGCTGGACGCAGGCCGCGCCAGGGCGAGAGCCTCGTGCTCCGCGCCGGTCCCAGCCCCGTTCCCTCTCAGCAGGCTCCTTGCCTTTCTAGTCCAATCGCCACCAGCGCCGCGAGAGGAAGGGCTGTGCAGCAGGTGCCTTACTCTCCCCCTTTCCCCATAGATCCTCCCTCTCTTAGACCCCTCCGCAGCCCTCCTGGGGTGGAGCAAGGCCGCCTGTCCTCACTGCACTTCCTCCTGCTCCGGGTGACAGTATTTGCATCTCCGGGTACAGCCACCAGCCCCACGACCCCTCGCCCGTTACCGCAGGTCCCTTGGCTGAGAAGGGCAGAGACTGCACTTGTGGTCACCGGCGGGGCTGAGAACTAACCAGCGGGACGGCCCCGCTGTGGGAACTGTGCCCTCAGCATGCTGGGCACGGGACGGGGTGGGGCTGGGAAGAGAGGCCAGCGCAGTCTGATGACCCTGCATGGTGCCCAGCAGGAGGTGAGGGGACAAAGCGCCAGCACCCCATAGGAAGAGCTGTCCTGCGGGACAAGGGGCAGCCTCGGAGCTGTCAAGGAGAGCCAGAGGCAGGGCGACCAGACGGCAGAGGGGCGCATGCGATGGTGGGCAGTGAGTGGATGGGGCAGAGGTGGTTTGAGATTTGCAGGAGGAATGAGCTGAGGACGTGCAGGCCTGGGACAGGGACTGAGGGGGGCTTGCCAGGCACCCTGCACGCGGAGTCTGGGTGGCATGGGCAGGGCAGTTGTCACACTTCCCTTCCTGCCCCACTCAGATCCTCAGCCGCACACAGGGCAGGAGAGAAGAGGCCTGAGGAGCCAGGCTCTGGCTGGAAGGGGCCGGGGTGGAGAAGCGTGGTTGAGTAACCCGACAGGGGGCATTATGGGACACAGCAGGCGGGCTGGAAGAAACCAGTCATGGAGGGGACAGCCTTTTGGTTCAGACAGACTTTTAAAATGGGCTTTTCGAGGCTGAGTCTCCATCACCACACCCCTACCCCGGGCTTCAGGGCAGCGCTCCCAAGCCCTCCTGTCACGCCAGCAGGGCCTGCAGAGGGTCCCTGTGTGCTGGGTCTCCGAGTGCTAACTCTTCGGCCACATTCATCCTCCGAGTAAAATTACCAGGACAAAAGAGAGGTGAGAAGATACAGCAGCTAACGATCCACACAGACTGTTCCATGTCAAGGTCTGGTCCACCTGGCAACTGTCCCTGAGCCTTCCCAGTAGCCCCTGAGCTGAGCTAGATCCTCCCTCCCGTGCATTTCTTAGACTTTGGCACATATTGAAACAGATCACACGTTGTAAAGGAGAAGGGAAGAAACATGTATTGAGCAGTGCCAGACACGATGCCACATATTTTACATATGTTATTGCATTTACTTCTCACAACAGTTTTGCAAGGTACATGGTGTTACTACTATTAATATTAATGTTTTACATTTCAAGAAATGGAGACTTGGAAGGCGATTTCTTGGCCAAGATCACATAGTTATAAGTTGTAGTGTGGGGACTGGACCCCAGACCTGCAACATTGTCTTTGTCCTATGTCACATTGCATTCACTATATATTGTAATTTTTTAAATATACTTTGTTCTGAATGAGAGATGAATTCACATAGATCGGTGGTTTTCAAACTGTGCTCTGGGTCATTCACTTGTCCAGGGTTCCACAAACAGGATAGTTTCTCAAACACAAGAAAGTGAAGGTTTCAAATTACACACACAAAAAAACACCACTCATCACTTATGTCTGCTTTGCAGGTAACTTTTCCATTAAAAAAGTTAAGTGTTGCCAAAAATAGTTTCAAAAATATTATTCTTGAGTGGAAAAGGTTCCCTTACTGATAAATGAGGAGAAATGAGGACTAGCAGATTAAAATTACTAGCAGCGGTAAAGTAGAAGGAATCTGGGCAGAAGGGGGCTGGAGTGATGGGCCTGCAGATTAGGGGGCTGAGGCCCAAGGCCCAGGGGAAGAGGCAGGTCAGGATGCCTGAGTCAAGACATGGGAACTTGCCTTGCAATGACACTGTAGACTAAGGGAAGACTTTAATGCCCCTGAGGCTGGCCACACCCGTCTCCACTGTCCTGTGCCACTTGTTATGCAACTGCTGCTGAGGGGTGAGGTAGGACCTAATTCCCCAGATGAACCCAAGTTTTTCATGGTGACAGAGGTAACAACTCACCCTGCAACCACACCCTTCTTGCTCTTAGAAACCCCAGGTCTGCTTTCTTCTACCCCCATAAGCGCTCCCCAGTATCTGAGGCTAGAGCAGGCAGTGCCCCTTCATCCAGGGTTTGAGGCCTTCATCCTAGGCTTCAACCTTTCCCACTTCCTCTTAGCCTCCCCGACATAGTGCAAACCAGGTGAGCATCCCATTGAAAAGCACACGTGCAGCAGCACCACACCTGCACACTAAATGTGCTCTTGGAGTGTGTGATTGATCGTATCTAGCACTGAAATTTCTGATACTCTGTGTGATGAAGTAACAGAGACTGCTATTTTAAAAACACAGTTGGCTGGGCGAGGTGGCTCACGCCTGTAATCCTGGCACTCTGGGAGGCCAAGGCCGGAGGATCGCTTGACATCAAGAGGTGAAGACAAGCCTGAGCAAGATTGAGACCCTGTCTCTACTAAAAATAGAAAGAAATTAGCCAGACAACTAAAAATAGAAAAAATTAGCCAGGTGTGGTGGGCCATGCCCATAGTCCCAGCTACTTGGGACCCTGAGACAGGAGGATCGCTTGAGCCCACGAGTTTGAGGTTGCTGTGAGCTAGGCTGATGCCACAGCACTCTAGCCCTAGCAACAGAATGAGACTCATCTCAAAAAAAATAAAAATAGAAACATGCCTCATAAACTTTTTGGAGTTTCCTCTAATGTTCCAGGCATATTCATTTTACGTGTTGCTTCATTCATTCACTGATAAGGAAAAATCGAGTGTGCTATGTTAGATACTGGACATAGAAAGAAGAGAGGCACATCTCACCTGGAGATTTTAATTTGTAGAGGAAGAAACATATGCTACATGATCACGCCACTTTAATTTCCCCCATGTAACCACGAACAGAGCAGGCCTGAGCACACAGGAATGTGCGGGTCTACACTTCTGTGTAGACGTGGGCCTGCAGACACTGCGGTGGCTGTCCCCGGGAAGAGCAGCACGTGGCAGAGGCTGCCACATCCCTCTGTATGAAAGTACACCACCAATGCCACTAAACACAAGGGATCCCTCCCCCATCGGTCTCTGGATGCTGTGGTGATTTTTCCCACCTCTTGAGATCCATTCTTTTTTTTTATTTTAGCGTATTATGGGGGTACAAGTGTTAAGGTTACATATATTGCCCATGCCCCCTCCCCCTCGAGTAAGAGCTTCAAACATGTCCATCCCCCAAACGAGATCCATTCTTCCTACAGCCATGTTTGAAAAGTGAAAAGATACTTTAATTTCCAGGCTAGAAAGTTTCTTATACCAAGCTTTAAGAACGTTTGAAGAAATGTACCGCTACGTTTCCACCATGCACAAGAGCAGATTGAGGTATATTCAAGACACTGGCAGAGAAGAGAGCTCCCCGCTGTGGAAAAGGGAAAGGGAAAACAGAAGGGAAGGCTTGGTGGCAGCCATGACACTTGCGCCCCTGTTGTCACCAGGATGGAGAGGACAGGCAGGGGTTGGGACAGAGAGGACAGCCTGCCTCCTCTTCCCCAGCTCCTCCCCCTGCAGTTGCCACCCACAGGAAATGTGTCCCCTCTCCTCCTGCAGGGGCCAGCGGCAGTGACTACAGTCTCCTCGGATGCCCAGCCCTCTCTGATGACACAGAGTCGGCGCTGAGCAGGAGTCCCAGTGCACTCAGTAAATCCTCTCGCTTCATGGGGGCCTGAGGTTGTGTGGCCGCCTAAGATGGCCTAACTCGGTATAGAGAAAATAGTGCTTCAGAATCCAAACAGTCTCCTAGCACTCTGGGAGGCCGAGGTGGGCGGATTGCTCGAGGTCAGGAGTTTGAGACCAGCCTGAGCAAGAGCGAGACCCCGTCTCTACTATAATTAGAAAGAAATTAATTGGCCAACTGATATATATAGGAAAAAATTAGCCGGGCATGGTGGCACATGCCTGTAGTCCCAGCTACTCGGAAGGCTGAGGCAGGAGGATTGCTTGAGCCCAGGAGGTTTTTTCTTTTTTTAAGACAGAGTCTCACTTTGTTGCCCAGGCTAGAGTGAGTGCCGTGGCCTCAGCCTAGCTCACAGCAACCTCAAACTCCTGGGCTCAAGTGATCCTCCTGCCTCAGCCTCCCGAGTAGTCGGGACTACAGGCATGCGCCACCATGCCCCGCTAATTTTTTCTATATATATTAGTTAGCCAATTAATTTCTTTCTATTTAAAGTAGAGATGGGATCTCGCTCTTGCTCAGGCTGGTGTCAAACTCCTGACCTCGAGCAATCTGCCCGCCTCGGCCTCCCAGAGTGCTAGGATTACAAGCATGA